TTGTTGGCTTCTACTCTCCCTTTACGCCTTAGCTCAGTGGGTCACCTCCTCGGGGAAGCCCTCCCCGACTTCCCTACCGTGGGTGATCTGGCCCGTTCCCACCGCTCCGACCCCGCTGCGTTTTGCTTCTCCCCTCCCTGCCTGCTCCCAGCAGTACTGGCCTCCTTCCGTTTGTTCCCCCTCAGACTTTGCACATGCTCCTCGCTGGGCCTGGAACTCACTCCTCCTCCTCGCACGGTTGGCCCCTCGTCACCCTTTAGATAGTAGCTCAGATGTCATCGCGGAGAGACCTTTGCCTCGGACCTTCCCCCACACCTACCTATTTTTTGCATAACCTATTTGTTTTCTCCACAGTATCTGTCACAGTCTGACTCATGTTCATGCACACGTTTCCTATTGATGCAGGCAAGATGTAGACTTTAGGCGTGTCCTCCCCCGCGTCCTCCCCCTTAACCCCCTCAGATGGTTTCCTTTACGTTCACCCGGTGAAGTAGTTCGTGAGGGAGGGAAAGTGTCTCCTCCCAGGAGTCACTGGCCACCGTGGTCGTCCCAGCCGGTGTAGGAGGGGAGGGGGCCCCCGGCATCCAGCAGGTAGAGGCCCGAGGGGCTCGCCGAGCCCCTCCCCCAACAGAGGATTCTCCAGGCCAAGATGTCAAGGCTGTGAAATGGAAGAAACGCTTATCTGAGATGGTCAGTTAGAGGGCGGAGTGAGACAAAGAACCAGAGGATGAGGCTTTCCCAAGTGATGAGCGATTGAGAAAATGATGCAGCTGAACCCTGCATACAAAATGCAATTGTGAAGGGAGTCAAAAACGCTACGAGCGGTCAACCCTGGTCGCGTGGGATAGTGGCAGGCTCTTAATAATTCCCTGGCTGCTTTGCCTTTCAGTGAGATCATTGGTAATGTTTTCAAGATGTAATTTTAATAACTGAGAGGCAATGATTTACAAAAAGGCATTATATTTCTTAGGTTGTATCTTAAGATTGAATGAGAAATGTGTTCCTGTGGTTATAGTATATATTTTCTTATCGTGTCATTCCTAGCAGAAAAAATCGTGAGCTACTTCGGAGTGTGTATGAATTATTCTTGCCCACACATTGTCATGGTAAATGTATTAGTCCATTCTAAATTATATTTAATTAGGGTAATGTTAAAAGAATGACAAGGTAGTTTTCAAAGATAAGAGCATCGGTGCATTGGGTCCTGTCGCCTGGCACATAGTAGGTGCACCAGAAATGTCCTTAAACTGAGCTGACGTCTTTCTCTTTTTAACTGCAAGTCCTAAGATCGAAGGAGACGTCCCTTAAAGGTTCCTTTTTAATGGAAGATGATAGGCGCCGTTAAGGCCTCCCAAATTCCCCAAGGCCACTGGGAATAATCCGTTGTCCTAAAGGAACTTGAATCTTTGAAGAGACATTTTCACCCATTAATCTTCTTCTACTGTAATCTTCAGACATAGGGAGTTACTATCAGGTGACCATGATAAACACTAGCCAATTTTTATGCGTTTGAGGCATGGATTCTGTGGTCCGGAGGTCCCTTGAAAATCTTTTACAGGCTCTTGGTGACTCTAGGGGACGAGAAAGAGAGGGCTGGCATTTGTTTCGCATTTGGAAACTATGGGTGGCTCTCCGTTTGGGCAGGGCCCTGGCCCCTCCTCCGTGGTTGTCCAGGGTGACTTTCGCTCTCCTCTCCGTAGGAGACACCCTATTTTTTTTTTTCAGTGAAATGTCATGAGGAATCTCCGTTTATAAAACAAATGAAAATGGAGTTACTTTCATTGAGGCAGATTGTGGCGATGGAAGCCCGCAGATCCCTCGCCTCTCGCTTTGCCTCTGCCCCTGAGGCTGTGTGGGCGGCCCCCCGAGCAGCCTCCCCGCCGAGCATCCCTCTTCAGCGCTGTGGCCCGGAGGATCGCTCTCATCTCCGAACGGGTCCGGCAGCGTCTCATTCGGGAGGCTTTATAGAGGGTTCACTTGGAACGCGCATGTCAGGCTGTGCACAGACCCTGGCACATAGTAACACCCAGTAAAGGCTTCTTTTTGGAACAGTGGCCTCTGGCTGTGTGTCATCGGCAGCTCACAGGAAACCAGGGCCTCAGAAAAGACATAAGTCACAGGGGAAATTCAGGAAGCGCTGGTGACGCTGAGGATGCTCACTTCTTGGCCTTCTCTTTGACTGTGGGATCCATCCGAAGCGCTCTGGGTATGGGATGAGTTCATCCAGTACGTGTACATGCTGGGTCTCGTAGGCAGTAGGGTCAAGAGAACACGATGACTCCTCTATTAATGAGAGAGCTGTGTAATTCATGGTATCATATTGTATGGCCAGGCCAGTTAACCGATTCATTGCTATAGACAGAACTAAAATACTTCATTTGAATGTACTCTGGAAATTGCAGATATTTTAAAAACGTTTGGATTTTTGAAAAGTCTGGGAGAGCTTTTAAAAAGCATTCTGCAAGGTGTATATGGAGAGTAAAAGTAAGAATGAGATAGCTTAATTCCCAGTAATTGGGCGGTGGAAGTGACGTAAGCAAGCGAAGGCGGAACTTGAAAACAACGTGGAGGAGTGGATAGCTCACAATATTTGAAGAGAAATAGCTAAGTGTGTGGTAGCATGCTAACAGAAAACTAGGGCACCCTGAGAATGTAAAATCCACTTTTGTGATACGAGTCTGCGGTGGGATGCACGCCAATGGAATGTAACATTTTAAGAACAGCGGACGAGAGCATTGTCAGCGAGGCAAGGAGAGTGGGGTTGCTCTGGTATGGGTGGCACATTTCTCTAGGATTCCACAGGACACCGAAAACTCAGACATTACTAAGCAATGGAAAATTTCTATTTTTACGATTCAACCCTAGCAATCAGCTGCAGACTGTTTTAACTACGTGTAGGTTTCTCTTTTAGATTTTTCCAGGCTAACGTCTTTTAGTTTATTTATTTTGCTTTGTGTTTTTGTCAATGGAAAAATGTAAGATGCTGCCCCTTCTTTCTCCTCCAGTCACACTCCTTATGATGTAGCCATTGTTAGGAGTTCGGATACACACTTTTTCCCTTTTTAAACAAAGAGAGGCTGTGCTCTAAATGTTTTGTGGCTTGCTTTTTCTCTTACTACCTCTGCGGTATCACTCTAGGTCAGTGGTTCTCTGCTAAGAGCAGTTTTGCTCCACCCTGCGTGGGGGTAGCACTATTTGGAGACAGTTTCGATGCTCATGGCTGGAGAGGAGGGGGACGGAGGTGGCTATCAGGAAGGTGGCCAGGGTTCCTAAGGAACACACATGAAGGCCTCATGGACAAGGCCCAAGTGGGGAAGGGCTGAGGGTGGGAGGTGGGGGTGGGTGGGGCAGGGGAAAGTGGTGGCGGGAAAATGGAGACAAATGTATTTGAACAATAAAAAAGCTAAAAAAAAAAAAAAGTCCTATGATGCAAAAGACAGTCCCCATGACAAAGACTTCTCTGGTCCAATATGTTAAGAGTCAAGATTGAGAAACCCTGCTCTAGGTCAATACGTGTAAATCTAATTCATTATTTTAAAAAGCTTCATGGTACTTTGCAGTGTGGTAGATCATAATTACTCAACTAGTTTCCTATTGACAGTTATGGTTTCTTATTTAGTGGCATTTATATACTGAAGATTACAAAACCAAGTGTTCCAACTTAGTTATTTATAATTCAACTGTTTCTTTAAAGAGCAAAATCCAGCCTTTTCAGAAAGACTCACAAGAGGAACGGTTAAGAATCCATAGGCTTGTGTATAAAATTAGATTCTGGGTCACTGTGAGTCAAGAGAATTTGGTTTCAATACAATCACAGACTCACTTTAAATGACAAGCCTTAAAGTAAGTCCTTTGGAAAGCATGTCTTCATTTTTTGATGCTCTGGAATTTAAAAAAAAAAAAAAAGAAAAATTAGAAGAAGGAACCCTAAAGCTTTTCATGTGACTGCCAAAAACAGAAGGCAGTGACTTTCCGAGAAGCAAATTCTGATGATTGGACCTCCTCTTTATACATATTTCTAAAAATCCATTAGTGCATTACATCATGATGAGTTGAACAAAAAAAAAAAAAAGACAAAGCAGGTTTAAGATGAAAAGCAGGGCTCTCCGATCCTGAAGACGTTGAACGACTTCCAGATGCCATGGACGTTGTAATGCAGAATGGGAGGGAGCCTCTGGGTCCCCGCAGAGGGGATTGCAGAGAGGGTGCCCCGAAGCCCGCCGGGCATGCCCTGTGTCTGCCCCGCCCACGGCAGAGGCCTGCTGGGAGGGGTGAGATGGAGTCCGAGTCTCCTGCCCACGGAGCTGGCTCAGGGGCAGCGGCCGCAGCCTCGCATGAGGACAGCAGGCCGGCCGGTGAGCCTGCGGGGTGGGCACCTGCTTGCTTCACCCCTTCCCTTGTCAGTTTCCTCCATGAGAGGCAAGAGTGAGGAGTTTATCTTTCCTTTGCTAATAGTCTTTTTAAGTTATTTTCTCAAAGTCATCCAGGGATACTTCTGTAGTGAAATAGATGAGGCTGGCTAATTTGGGCTTTGTGCTTTTGATGTCAACTTTTTGGCATGAGTCCTTGTAGTTAATAAATTAATGGAGAGCAGGATCCTGGGATAGGCCAGACCTATCAAAATCGCAACAGGTTAAATGTCTCTGAGGAACCGTGAACATTGTAAGTTCATTGATTTTTTTTTTATTGAGGCATAATTGACATATCCTTATGAATAGTGTCAGGTGTACCACATAATGATTCAATATCTGTATATAGTATAAAATGATCGCCACAGCGAGGCTAGTTAACCATAGTTACACATTGTGTTTCTGTGATGAAGTACTTTTCAGATCTACTCTCAGCGCCTTTCAAATATAGTCCCCTTGCCGCACATCACATCCCAGTGACTTCATTTTATAATCGGACGCTGCTGGTACCTTTTGCTCCCCTTCACCCATCGCATTCACTGACATTTGGGGAGTCTAAAGGAGTGGCCTCTGTTGCTTTTGCCTTTTTAGGACCAGAGCCACACGCAGGTGTCCCAGTACCGTCAGGACCCCTCCTTGATCGTGAGGTCCATCGCGCACATGACCGATGCCGCCCGCTCCGGGGTCATGCCTCCGGCCCAGCTCACCACCATCAACCAGTCCCAGCTCAGCGCCCAGCTGGGGCTGAGCTTGGGCGGAGCCAGTTTGCCCCACACGTCTCCTTCACCTCCAGCCAGCAAATCGGCAACGCCTTCCCCGTCCAGCTCCATCAACGAAGAGGACGGTGATGAGTCTGGCAGGGTAAGGTCGCGGCTAAGGATGGAACCGGCCGGAGAATTCATGGCCACCCCATGCTCGCTCGTGTCTTTGGCCTTCATTCATGGTTTCATCTTCTTTCTCTTCATGGATTTGGAGTGGCCTTGAAATGTATGATGATTGAATGTCTTTCTTCACTCTTTAACTAATTTTCTGTGTAATGGGTATTCGGCCAGAAGTTGGGAGAGCTGGCTTCTCCTACCAGGTGTAGAGCAAGTCATTTAACTCTGGGAGGCCTGATGTTCTGAATGTGCCGAAGGGAGGGCTTGCAATAGACCTGAATTCTAAACGTGCTCTGGGTCTAAGTTATTGGCCATGTGGGTGAGTTTCATCCAGTTAGTTGGCTGAACTGCTGCCCCATTTGGCAGCCCTGTACCTTTGATGATGTTTATCACCGATTAAGTTCTAACTGTTTTACATCTTTGCTTTTGTCATGGAAAAGTGTATATCATTTAAATATACATAGTTTGAAATCAAAACTTAGTTGCCCGAGTGACTCTCCTGCCTGCCTCGGAAGATGTGCTTTATTCAAGTCACTTATTCGAGGTCCACAATTACGCATTCCTTATTTGTTAATCATGTGTTGTACACCTACTGTTGTGCTTGACATTTTACTTGGCTCTGGTGGTATACAGACTTAGAGGAGAGTTTCTACACAAGGGACTCCCCACTGAAGACGAAGGGTGCGTTGACAAGGAGCTGCGGTTGTGATGAGTGGCATAACCAGTGTAGCTGGTCTCCTGACATTCTGCTTGGGAGTGTGATCGGCACACGACTTTATTGGGGAGGTGATATTTGAATTAGGTCTAAGGGGTTACATAAAAGTTTGTGAGGCAGAAGAGAGAGTCCAGCATCCTGGTAGACGGAGTCCTGGAAGTACAACTGAATTTATGAGTATCATGAACAATTTGATACTGGGGAGGAAAGACAGCAGTTGCAGAAAGAGATGGCTGGTATGTGCTGGCCTTTCTCCCATTGGTAGTTGAGAGCTGATTCATTGCTTGCATAATGGGATGGTCAGAGCAAATCTATGCTTTAGAAAGACAACTCTGGCCACGTACAGAATGCACTGTGGGAGGAGGGGCCTGAGAAAAGGAAACCAATGAGAAGACCCTTTTTATGAAGTGTTTCATTTTAGCAACGGAAGGAGTGGACAGGAGGTGCTGGATTAGTGTGATGTTTAAGAGGGAGAATCATCCAAGTTTGGTGATCCACTGGAGTTGGCAGGAAGTAGAAGGTAAATTGGGTTTTAGTTCGCGAGCCATCATGAACATCAGCAACTGAGAGGATCACCCCAGAAAGAGAAGAATGACGTTATTTTTTCCCCCATGGGGAAGATGAGAGTTTGGCTCGGGTTGGATTTGAGACGCTTACATTTGAGCCAAGAACTCAGTTTCAGTTCATTGTAAGTGGAACTATAGACTTGGAACCATCAGCACATAAATGTGAAGACGTGGAAATAATCAGAACTTCTCAGAGCATCCAAGGAGTGAGTCAAGGCCAGAACGCTGAGCATCATTTAGTTCTAAGTAGTAACTGGAGGAAGAGAAGGTGGCGACGTCTGAGAGGATGAAAGGAGGAGGTGAGGGGAGAGTCAGGTTGTAGGGATTTCAAGGAGGGCTTGCTGGGTCGCACCCGTTAGTACCCCATTGGGCCCAGGACAGGCAGGCACCCGAACAGCCCTCGCTCACTCGAGGACTTGAGGGAAGCAAGTCAAAAAGGGTGACTGAGGAAACTCAAGGGGTGTCAAGGAACAGCTAAGTTACAAATGGTCATAACACAGTTCCAACGGACACCTTTCATTTCCCTCACATTTCCACAGACTTGAATACTTACCTCCGTGCCAGGCTGAGATAGTCCTGTCTCCAGGGAAATTTTTCCGTGACGCCGAAGCTTGCTCCACTTTAAGGAGGGTCTAGGGCTTATGTAAAGACAAGGAATCCAGTTTGTCTTTTCAGCAACTTAGCTCAGAAAGGAAGGTTAACTTCATCGTTGATTATGTCTCTTTGGGGGAAAGCGATTTCTTCACCTTTCCCGACCCTTTTGAGTCAACTACAGAAAAGTTTCTTCAGGAGAATTAATTTTGAGCTTTTAGTTAAACTGTGAGATTCTTCATTTCTGGTTTGTTCCTAAAAGGCAGTGACAATTAGGGCAAGTCAAGTGTATCCAAGAATGACGCTAAAACTTGTCGATATTTGAATGTCGTTTTACAGAGAATGAAATCGAACTCATCTTATTTAGAAAGAGCCACCCTGGACATGACTGTCATCTTGCCATTGGTCAGGGTATTATTATTGTTGGCGCAAAGAGTGCCACATTTTTTTTTACAGGAAAAGAATATAGTTGTTTGACTCAATCAGAAAAATCTGTGTATTTGTATTTTTATCTTGTGGCTCAGGTAATACTTTTTCTTTGAAGGAAAACTTGGCTTCAACTGAAGCTCTGTCTAAAAGATGTCTGACTCTTCTACAAGTTCAGATTCATTAACTAGAGTCAAACAAGTCTCACGTATTCTGAGAACTCAAATTAAAAAGACTCTGAGGGCTATACAATTTTATTGAATTAATTGTGTGAGTTATCAATGTTGGCATTTTGGAGGAGAGGTGAGATATGGCTTAACCCCATTGGAAGTCTATGAAGTAATTATATATGAGGGGAACCCCCCAAAAAATCTGGAATTTATTTATAAAGAATTGTGCATTCTTGCATATTTAAACTTCAGTAACCTTCAAAGTACCCTCCATTTGATGCAACACACCTATCAAGACATTTTTTTCCCACTGCTCAAAACAGTTTTTGAATTCATCGATTTTGATGCCTTTTAGTACTTCTGCCATTTGTTGTTTTACCTCTTTCACATCAGAAAAATATTTCACTTTGAGAACTTTTTTCATCTGAGGAATCAAAAAAAAGTGGCTGGAGGAGACTAGGGAACATGGGACACAGAGGTCATGCCGTTTTTGGTCAAAAGCTGCTGAACACTCAGCACTGTGTGGGCAGGTATGCTCGTAAATCACCCATCATGCAATGGGCAAACACATGGAAAGAGTCTTCAAAAAATAATTCACTGAAGCCGAATGCAGCCTCTCACAACAACGCCAGCTGGTGCGCTGATACAGGTGGGTTCCTAGAACACTCACCTAGCAGGGGAAGCCTGTACTATGCAGAAGATAATTCCGAGGGTTTTCAGGCCCCCCCCCTTATAAGGCGTGGATGTTGTTACCTCTCAGAGGTGCAAACAGTAAGTCCACCTAGAAGCAGATCTAGCAATGTCCCAGAATCTTGAGGCTTCCATGCTCTCAAAGACACAATTTCTTACCCATTCCCTCCCCAAGAATTTTAGTTATTGGATTAAGTTCCAAATGATCCTCATTCGGAAAGTAATGATACTATTGGAAAATTTGAATTAGGTTTTAAGACACAAGGCCATTAAAAACCAATCTGTGAGTAGCTTGAATCTATCTCTATTGATCTTGCTCAAGGCTGACTCTTAAGACTGATTTTGTCAAACTCTCAGTGTTCTTGATGAAATTAGCTGCAAAATTATCGCCACTATAGTCATAATCTAGAGGGATGAAACAAGGCTGATAAATTATCTCGGCTGCTTCTCTGATAAGTACATAGTCTTTGAAACCAGGTGGTGGTAGCAAGTGCATGTGCAGGTCAGCGGTTTATAGGGTCGGAGGGCTGTACCCACGTCATTTCTGTGGTTTTGACCTCCCAGAGCTCGTGTTGTGAACGTGGGGGCATCTACATGGCAGTATTACCCTGGACAGGCTTAGCTACCATATATAATAAACATCTTCTTGGTCTTCATTTTAGTCCCGGTGAGTTTGAGACCAGCTATTGTCCCATTACAGGTCTTCAATGTTATGGAGAGTACCATTTTTTTTCTACCTCCAGGAAAAAGTTTTGGCATTTTTACATTTCCTGATGTCCTATTCTTTAGAAAGTTATTATTTTAGAAGATAAAGATAACCTTGCCCTGCGGTGCAAGCATAGGGATTGTAGCTAATTCCCATGTGAGTTTCTGGAGACCCAAAGTAACGTTCTGGTAAAATAAAAAATCAGACTCAAAAAAATCCTTTCAGACCTTTTATACACATGGCATGTATCTACGGCAAGGGATCATATCTGAATATGATCAACATCCTGAGTATTACTTAGGTTTACTTCTAAAACCCCTAAAAATGTAAACTATTTTGTTTATGTATACATGTGTAGCCTAGTACACACACACACACACACACACACACACACACACACACTCAACACACACGTAAAAAGCATCGCCTGGTATGGTGTCTTCTGCTTTTCATTACTCATAACTGCTATTTAGAGCATATGTTGTAAATGTATTGAAGATACTTCTGGATCTCATTAATCAATGTTCTAAATGCTAATCTCTGCTGTCCAGTCAACTCTAAGCAAATTCACCCCTCCCCCGCCCTGGGTGGTGATTCATCTGTTGATGATGCTTCACAAAACCTTAAAAGAATAATTATGGACCTGAGGAAGTCTTGCTGCCTTCCCTGCAAATACATTCCAGGCAGTGAATTTTTTTCGTGCTTTGCAGGCCATTGGAGAGAAAAGAGCCGCTCCAGATTCTGGCAAGAAGCCCAAGACTCCAAAGAAAAAGAAAAAGAAAGACCCCAACGAGCCCCAGAAGCCAGTGTCAGCGTACGCCCTGTTTTTCAGAGACACGCAGGCTGCAATTAAAGGTCAAAACCCCAATGCAACCTTTGGAGAGGTCTCAAAAATCGTAGCGTCTATGTGGGACAGCCTTGGAGAGGAACAAAAGCAGGTGAGGCAAAGCTCCCTCGTGGCCACAATACTAAAAAGTGGCCAGAGTGGTCCTTACATCTTTCCCAAGTGAATCCATTCACTTGATACGATCGCTTCCCACGAAAGCCTTTCTAAGCTAGAGAATTCAAAACACACTCACGCGCACACAAACGAATGAACCCTCCACTCTCCGGTTATGCGGATTTCTCAGTTCCCCTGAGGGTGCACATTCCACACCCATTCCGAGGAGAGCTGGACGAAATCCAGGCAGCACCCTGCACGCCTGAACTTCTGACGGCCATCTCTTCATTTGAAATAACGTGGAATATTTTCCCCCTTTGTTCACAAAGGGCACTGCAAAGCGACGAGGTCCATCCCACCTGCCTGTCCTTTGATCATCTTTCTGAACTCTTGTGCCGCCCTGGTGGGTTTCCAAACTTTGAAGCTGCCTCTGCGTGTCTCATTATTTTCCCCGGGCATTTGAAATTGTATTCCAGGTTCATTTGAAAGCTCGGCACTATGAGAGGTATTGAGAGATTAGCCGTGCCGGTGGGAGATACCTTAGGGCACCGTCTCTTCTCCTTCCCCGGGCAACTCCTCCGTGTACTGCAGAGAAAATGACTCCCTTGGGGGTCCGTCCCCCGCCCACCCCCGCCTTGCTCCTGGCATGAAACTCCAATGACCAATAATAGGAGTTCCCTTTACGTAGCCTCAGAAGAATAGACGCCTATTAGTGAGGACCTAGAATACTGGTTTCAGGATCGGAGAGTGGAAAACCCTTAATTTTTTTTTTCCTCTCCAAATCGTGAAATCAGTTTTACCAGCTGGTTTCGTTGGGATGGTGCAACTGTAGAATTGGCCTGTTTGTGTGCAGGGAGTGGAGGCACTGTGTGTAGCAGAGTGATTTTTCTACCCCAGATGTGTAATCCTAAGGCTCTGACTAACTGCTGCAGCTAATTTTAAACTCCAGAGAGAAAGACAGTTGTGCTTCGGTCCAATACCCAGCCATCAGGTCATTGTTTGAAAAAGAAGCCTCTTTGTATAACATACTGGGAGGCGTTTATGTAACTCATGGTCTCACCGATGGAAAGATCCCGTGTTTTACTATTTATGACTGTTTCTCTGCGAAAGAAAACCAAGGTCCAGAAGGCCTCCATGTTTTCTGTCTTCACATGCTCTACCTGTTGTTGATATTTTAATTCCCTGATTGGGTGCAGTTTAGAAATGTGTGGGAGGGAAAGAAGACATTGATGGAGAAGCTTATTACTTTCTACCATTTTAACCACTTGAAGCAGATTTTATTCTTCTTGCTCCCTGAATTTACTGCTGTTGTACAAAGAATCTGTTACTTTCAGCTGTTACTCTGAAGGAATCTATGCTACAACTGAAATCTTTATCTCATTTGCCCAAGTAAACATCAAATTTATGTTCTAGTGAGAGTGGCTAGGATTCGTTGGGTGGGGGGTTGTATGTGTGTGTGTATTTACATTTATCAAAGTCAAAAAGACCAGCTTTGTCTGTGAATTCCGTGAGTCACGAGTTGACATAAATCATGCAACAGTTATTTTATGGTTCGTAGTTTGTGTTGCTAATTGTGGCCTTTTACAGGTATATAAAAGGAAAACAGAAGCGGCCAAAAAGGAATACCTGAAGGCCCTGGCTGCCTACAGGGCCAGTCTCGTCTCTAAGGTAAACCTGCACAGGGGCAGCCAGTCTGTGAGGGTGACTCTTGAAAACGCTGACCCTAGCCCTGGCCCTAACCCTAGCCCTAGCCCTAGCCCTAACCTTAACTCTAACCCTAGCCCTAACCCTAACCCTAGTCCTAGCCCTAACCCTATCCCTCGCCCTAGCCTTAACTCTAGCCCTGACTCTAGCACTGAAGCATTGAAAACATAAATGCGACTCCCTTCAGACCTCACCAAAAAGCTGCTTGAATAACTCATACATTTATTTGTTTCCATTATAAATTACTAGCATGTTGGCGTGAAAAATGTGATAAATTGAACTCATTTAAGCTGCTAAATGAAAATTGTTTCCAAAGGATTCACTGATCTCTCTCGATGTGTGTTGAAGCTATTTAGACACATTTTAAATCACCTCTTATTCTTTCCGTCAGAGACAGAGATATGTGTTAATGTCTCCTTTTTAAACTGGGAGGCATGTTTGTCAGGAATTTCTGGACGTCCTATCGTAAATCCTCCAGCGGTTACATTATTGCAATAGGGGAGGTTGCATTTTTTGACCAAACTGTTCCACATCATATAAATAAATAAACCTCATGATTATTTAAAATAAAATTATGCTTCCAGTTCTGGAAAAAAGACATGTGTATGTATTATACATAGAGTATACAATGGACCCTGATGTATTATAAAATGTACCAAGATCCCAAAGCAAATGTCAGTCTAGATTATTATTACCTTGATCCAAAAGGAGCCTGAGCTTTACATTGTATTATTTTAACATTTAATTAACTTTGTCTTTAGCCTTCCTAGAATTTAGAGAGGCTTTGGGGAGGATAAATTGAGCTAAGGGTTTTTATCTTGATGTATGTCCTCTGGCAAGCAGATTCCACTCCGTTGTCATTGTTTTGACCTATGGGGCGTGGTAGGCTTGGTGGCAGAGCCATCTGACAGGGTTTAGTTGGTGTTTCTCTTCTTCTCCTGGATTGTTTCTCCTTTATGTTGAGATCTACCACAGGCAGCTGCTCAGAATCAGGTCAAGAGAGGGTCTCCTGCCTTTGACAGCTGGTGGGACACTTTCTCCTTCTTTAGAAAGAGAAAACAGCCTTCAGGTCAATAGCCAAACCTCTTTCTGCGACTCTGGAAGATGTGCATAGAAAGACATGATACCAGTTCTGGCCTCTGATTTGCCATTGGCAGAAAACAACCGAATGTGGGCTATCAATATTCAGAATTGAGGTGTAGTCGATGGCTAATTAGGTAGAGTGAAGTGAATAGAGAAACGATGGGCCTGTCCTTCTTCAATGGATTATTTATTCATCCATTTACCCACAAGCACTAGAGGTGATCTTTGTGCATTAGAGCATGAGTAATTGACCATACGTGGATTTCAGCCAAGAGTCAGTAACTCGCAAGGCACGAAAGGAATTGGGACCATGATTGGCTCATCGGCTCTGGGACTGCCTTAGCAGGGAAATGTGACAAGGTACACGTTGGCTGCTAGAAACCGGATTCAGAAATAGTTTTGAATAGAATCCAGGAAGTCAATAGGATGAGATGTTAAAAGAATAAGTCTAAAATCTTGTTTGTTTATCGCTCCCTGAGGTAGGTGCAGTTTAAGGGTGCCCTAAATTTATATTCAGAGACCTGGTAGGAGCTAATATAGTCCATGGGGTATAAGTGTAGAATAATTTCAACAGGTGTGAAACAGCTGCTGGTACGCAGACCTCACAGGAGGAAGTGGTTCTGGTTTGGGACCCCACAGTTTAAAGAGGGATGGCGACCAGCTGAAGGCCCTCCAGAGGATGTCCCCCATGACGGTGAGGACAGAAAACCAAATCGCACTCAAGCAACTGAGAGAATCAGGGACACGATGACTTGTTGGGAGCATGTGATGTTAGGCCTCAAGCGTGAGGGGGGCCTGCGTGTCATCTCTGAGCCTTAGCTAGAAGCGCTCCCCCAAGGAGCGAGGGGACAGGGAGCGAGAGTCCAGCCTTCACGTTGGAACTGACAAGTCGACTTGCACCCTGTGCGCGGGTAACGTGCGCTTCTGCGGTCGGCGCCGAGGGCTCACTCTCTCAGGCTGTGACTCCCCGTCAGCTCCTGGCCTCACAACCACCAGAAACGGGTGGGAGCTTACTCTTCAGTGGTGCCGTGTGCTCCATCGGCTGTGGCTTTTCCCACACCGAGTGGCATCCGGACGTATCAAGTCACTTCTCAGGTTCCTTCTCAGAGTAGGTTTTATAAATCCAAGTAATAAAAATCTAGACATAAACATTCCAAATCATTGAACGGGAGTGGCTGCCAGCGTGATGTCTCCACAGTGCCCCATGGCGCCTCCCCCAAAGGCCCCTAGTTTTGTGAAGAATAAGAAGAAAAAAAATATTCTTTAAGAAGAATCATTCCAATCACTGTCGCATTAGTAAAAATATGTCTTTGAGGAGGAAATTCTGTGTTTTTAGTACAAAATGTAATAGGTAGTTTCCCTCCATGTTGACTCCCAGGTTCTTTATAACAGGTTATTCAGTCACGTGAGTTTTGAACATTCTTCCCTCACCTGTGGCTGCTTTGATACATTCTGGAAATCTTTGCAAATAGTTGATATACTAAACCATTTCTAACATTGTAAAGTACTTGAATTTAGTACCTCTAAGGAATCCAACTATGTTGTTCTTATATTCAAGTGAGCACGGTTACAAAATCATCATGCAAATACAGGGCTTTGATTTGGTTTTCTGGTAGCAGTAGTTGTTAATAAAAATTGCTAATATTTACTAAATGCTTCCCATGGGCCAGGTGCTGTTCTACATGCCTCACACATATGCATTAATTCTCACAACCTCAACACAAGGTGAATACCATACAACCCTGTTTTATAGATAAGGAAACTGAGGAACAACTGGATGAATGAACTTGCCCAAAGTCAGAGTTGTTGAGTCTTAGAGGTGGATTTGTGCTCTGGCAGTCAGCACTCTCGTGCCACTATCTGGTGGAGAGGTTAGTGTAGACTTAAATGGTGAAGAGTTGTTGCTCTTAAATACGTGTATCAGTCATCTGCTGCTACAGTTTTGCTGTGTAACAAGTAGCTGCAAAGCCAGTGACTCAAAAAGATAAGGATCAATCTCAGAGAGTGCCAGTTGGCTGGCTGGTTCTTCAGATCGAGGGCACAGTAGGATCAGCTCGCTCTGCCCATCTGCCTACAGTCAGCGTGGAAGTGCGGGGTCAGGGGTGGGGAACTGGCTGATCCCCCGCTGGACGTACGTGATCCGGAGTGATTCACGTACATGGCAGTTGGCTGGTTCTTGAGTAGCGTAACTGGGCCGGCCATGTGTCGGTCATCACGCACATGGCGCTGGTAGGTTTGGGAGAGAGTGTGTGTGGAAGTGGGCAAGGTCACTTGAGATCTCACTTCTACCACATTCTGTTGAGCAGAGCAAAGGCACAAGGCAGCCCCAGTCAAGAGGTGGGGACTTTGATTCTATTTCTGGGACAAGTTAAAAAGTCACATGACAAAGGGCTTGTGTACAGAGAAGCATGGATAATGGTGGCCATACTGAAAAATACTTCAATGTTTTAACCAAGTGTGTGTTAATATTTTGGACTTTTCTTCCCCAAATGCAGGCAGCTGCTGAATCAGCGGAAGCCCAGACCATTCGTTCTGTCCAGCAAACCCTGGCGTCCACCAATCTGACATCCTCCCTCCTACTCAACCCTCCACTGTCTCAACATGGGGCCGTGTCGGCAGCACCTCAGACTCTGCAGCAGTCGCTCCCGCGGTCAATTGCTCCCAAGCCCTTGACCATGAGACTGCCCATGAACCAGATTGTCACATCGGTCACCATTGCGGCCAACATGCCATCGAACATTGGGGCCCCACTGATCAGCTCCCTGGGCACGACCCTGGTGGGCTCGGCGTCCTCCACCCAGGTGAGCCCTTCCGTGCAGACCCAGCAACAGCAACTGCAGCAGATGCAGCAGCAGCAGCTGCAGCAGCACCAGATGCATCAGCAGATCCAGCAGCAGATGCAGCAGCAGCATTTTCAGCACCACATGCAGCAGCACCTGCAGCAGCAGCAACAGCTGCAGCAGCAGATCAGCCAACAGCAGCTGCAGCAGCAGCTCCAACAGCAGCTCCAGCTGCAGCAGCTGCAACACATGCCGCACCCGTCTCAGCCTTCGCCTCGACAGCACTCGCCCGTCGCCTCTCAGATGACGTCCCCCGTCCCCGCCATCGGGAGCCCCCAGCCGGCCTCTCAGCAGCACCAGTCACAAATACAGCCCCAGACGCAGACTCAAGTATTACCACAGGTCAGTATTTTCTGAAGACACGTGTGGCGGACGGATGGGCACGTGGAGGCAAGCGGAGGGGAAACCATCTGTGGCTGAGACTCGTAAGTCGGTGTTGGTTCTGCAGAAACGTGGAACAGATCACATGGTCCTCTGAAGTGTCTATTAGATAGGCAATAAGAACTACAGTGTAGCTGAACATCCTCTCGAGCTGACGCTCTACCACTTTGTTTTTAAACAAGAGAAGCTGTGCTCTTTTATGTGATGCCTTTTTTATTTATTCAGGCTATACCTACAATATGTGAATCGAACTGTTCCATGAATCCTGAGACACACCGAGGACTATAAACTGGCCTCTCTGAGTCACAGAACATGGCCTTATTTCTCCCGGAGTGAATAAACCGCACTTCCAGGCTGTGGGAACTCACGAAACCCTAACAATCAAAAGCACAGTTGTAACTACCTGAATAGGAAGATTCCCGTTTCATACAAACATTTGTATGACATGAATAGTTGATGGCATTTTTTGTCATGAAAAAAATAATGTAAATCACAGACTTTGCCAAAGGTCTTATTTTTTTTTCCTAAATATCTCCAGAAAAAAAAATGCAAGTGATTAGATTCAATTATTGACTCCCTTCCACTCTGTACCCATGACTTCTCCAAATCGAACCGCCATACCTGTCCTAACAATATCTCTGACCGCCGTTAACCCATATATTCATTCCAATTAGAGGAAAAGAATGTGAATATTATATTCTGTGTTTTGAGTGACAAGTTTCAAAAAATGAAAACACTGTATTTTTAAAAGGGAAAGGAACTTAAATGAAAACAGTTATTACAAAAGTGAAGATTTAAAAAAAAAGCAAGAGTTTTTATTATGACGTAATACTGGTAGAATATTTAAAAGGTGCACCACAAGGAATAATCAATGTAAATATTTTCTTTCAAAGTTGTAAGTTTTCATATCATGTGTTGTAAAGTTTTCATAAACAAGGCTTTAACGTAAACACTGGTGACACGAACCATTCATTGCTACGTTGCTTATTGTGTTTTTATGCTGTTTTATACTTTTTTATGAGTTACGATAGCAGCAATTAAGTTGTTTGTATTTTGCTTAACTAAAACAAAAATGCTTTTATCTTGCTATAGAATAAACACATTTCAGTAAAACCCGTGGACTGTATTTTGATGCAACAAACAGGAGGCTGTTCACTTTTCAAATAAAATGATATGTCACATTTCACTTTTGGTTCCTTGAATACGTATCAGATTGGGAAATATGACAGTGTACCAACTTGTATTCAGGCTCAAGCTCATTCTTCCATTTTCGATTGGAAATATGATACTCATGGCTAAGAATTTGCATGGCGTGACCCCGAGCCAGGGCCCTTGGAAAAAAAAATTGGGAAATATTTTTGTAAAGTATCTTTTTGTTAAAGTGCAAGTGGAAAGTACGTACAGAGGAAAAAGAAATCGTCTTCTCATATTAGGGGCTAGAGCTAGCTGGCATTAAAACTGACGGTGAATGCTAATTCTTAAGCCAAAATAATTATTTCGGTGCCCATTTCTTCCCCCCTTTTTCTTGCTCTTTACTGGCTCCTCTTCGAGAACAGTGTGACCGCTATCCCCAGTTGTCTTGCATGATTAATTACAGCATCTGTCGTGTCAGAAGCTATAATGAAGAGGTCTTGATAAAAATTGCAAATTACCACTGGCAACAGTCTTAAACTGCTTATGATAAAATGAAAATTAAAAACAGCAAGTGTCAACCCTGACCAGAATCCTAATCTGGAAAAAAAAAAAAAACCACACCAAGAGGGTGCATGGAGTAGTGTCCATAGTTACCGTGTGCAAGGCATTCAGAAATAATGGAATCTGGATGCCTCGAATTTGTTGTATATTTCAAAGAATATTTACTGTATGTTGTGGGCTATGAATAATGAATCCAGCTTTCAATATTTCATAATCCTCTCCTACTCTGTATTATGTACAAATATTGAACAGCAAGAGATCCTAATTATAAATTTATAGATTTCTTGCTGTAGAAAAATTTATGTCTAAATTGAAGCTTTTCATAAGATGCATTAGTTGACAGGTATCAGTGTTCAAACAGCCTTCGAATGATGCCTAATCACATCTACAAGGGAGGAGATGTATTCCACAAAGAACCGATCCGCTTGCATCAGACCCATCAGAAGCAGAGCTGACGGTAAAAGATTTTCAGTGAATGGAAACTAACATTACATAACAATAAGAGCCATTTTATATTCTGTTGTGAAACCTTTAGACAAATGTCTTCAAAATTAATTGCTAAACTACATGTGACAGTAATTGTGTATTAGGCCTGTAATTGTCATTTTGAAAAACCCATGAAGTATTGCTTGGAAAAAAAAATGTCACTAGTGATAAGACTTAATTGCAAGTGAAGTCTGTTTTCAACTGTTTGCAGTTAGAAGCAGGTGTTGTATCATTTATTAAGTGATTTTATAAATCTTGGGTTTTATCACATTTGATGAAATGTTGCTAAGCCACTGATGGTCAATTTCAAGGGAAAAAAAATAGTTCAATTCCTACAGTTTCAAAAATTAACCATTGGGCAAAACTATATGTTTCAACCATCGAAAGGCTTGAACCGTGAAAAGAATTCCCCCAAACTTGGTACCCAAATCATTGTCCTCAGGATTCGCTACACGTATTATGCATCAACTTGTGTTTCAGCATATACGTGTGATTCTGGCGTCTTTTCCAGAGACGTGGGAAGTCCTTGGTGTACTTTTCTTTTTGGTTCTAGGTCTGAGATAAATCAGGGTGATGAAGAGTAGGCCTGAGAAATGTGCCCTCTGGCTAGTGGGGGCCTCGTGGCTGTCATGCCTCCCTCTCAATGGCCAGCAGTCACTAACGGGGCGGCCCCACGCCCTCCACCCCACCACACACCCTTCCTTTTCCATGCCCCTGCCGTGTGTGCATTATTTTATCACTCTGGCTAAACATGTTCTCCTCCTTCCATTAACCTGTATGCCATCCAATGAAGAACACACGGAGTTTTCATTTTTAGCTGACACGGGGTCATCAGTTCCTGACTCCAAGAACAAAAGCTTGAATGCCTTCGTGCGGCATGATTTGTGCACTCTATTACCACCTGACGGAGGTTTGCAGGCTTGCTAGGCAAACGGATCCTGAGCTCAAGTTTAAGTAGACGTCCTCCGCCGCATGCACTCAGCAGGTCTGAATGGTCTGTCCCCTTTCTTACTTCATGGAGCATTTTTCAGCACCGGACTTCAATCTAACCTTTCCTTCTCCTCCCTCCCCCCCCACCCCCTTTGTTTGGCTTTTGTTTTGCAACAGCTGTTATTATCGTTTTTGGTCAGCTGTGATTGCTGGAGGCAAAATAGGACCAGATGGTGTTTTGCTATGCATGAATGGGGAGTTAGAGGAGTTGGGATTGAATAGGCCAAGTTTGAATGGTGTCTATGCACCACCTGCCTGCCCGGGCTGCAGCAGACACATCGCAGTGGCACGATCTGCCTCAGACCTCCTAGCGTCGGATGGGAAAGTGGGGAGCTGGGTGGGTTTTCCCCGTATTTATTGATCTTCCATGCACTAACCGAATAATGCAGTGTGCAGTCAATTCGAGTTAATTAGATATGACACAGCTTGGGCATGCACTCTCTGACTCTAGAATTCTGGTTTGCCTTAAGGACTTCATCTTTCGCCAAAGTAGGCGTGCGCGCGCACACACACACACACACACAGCCCCCCAACCCCGCGCACACTACACACACATTAATAGCAAAAAATCACTAGGCTAATTAGGCCCATGTTTAAAAAGTGTTAAATAGAGCAGACTTTCTAAGAGCCTGGGGTGGAAGTGTTAAGAAGGTGAGGGAATCTCAGTGATACTTGTATCAGTTAATAATAGAAGGTAAAGAAAAATTAATCCTGAGATGTGGACAGAGTCCTCATTATTTGCAGATTTTACCCGTCAAATACCGCACATTTATAATAAATGCGTCTTAGTGGGAATACCGCACAAATACACAACCAGATGAGAATTCTCATAGGAAATATTCTTAACTGTGTGCACTTTTCTCCTCATTCTCTCAAACGTAGTTAGCGTCGCCGACTACCTGAGGTGACCTCGAGAGCGCACGCTCCCCTGGGCTTGAAAGCTGCTGAGCGGGTGGGAGCCGTGTTGATTGTGATCCTACAGGTGTGAGTTGTGTGGCCCCCACGCGCTGCCGCGGACAGGCGCAACCGCCCAGGAAGCGTGGCGTTAGGCAGGCAGGCAGCCCCATTTGCCTGTGGCCCTCATTACTTAAATTTACTTCTGTTACATGCAAAACACCGTGCTAGGTCCCAAAGGAGATGCAAAAATAAGCACAGCCTTCTGTTTACTTGGTATATGTTTGAAATTTTCCATCATGGAAGCTCAAAAAATAATAAGCCCTCCTTAACTTATGGAGCCTTAATTTTTTTTTTTTTAATTGCGGTGGGGGATGTACCCAGCAGACAGAGGGATTGTGTCCCAACAAAAGACATAAAACAAGTGGGGTTGGTTGTGCTTTTTTTGTATAACCTGAGAAAATGAACATTTCTTTGGAAAGGGAAGAGATTGCAATTGGGTAGGGCCATTAGGGGAAGCTCCATGGAGTTCCCGACATTGAAATGTGCCTTGAAGGCAGGGTAGGGTTCCAGCAGGCCAAGGCAGAAGTCATATATCTTGGAAGAAGTAAGAATTCTCTCCAGACCGGGCAGAGTAGGAGAAAAAACATTCATGTTAAAAATACAGGCACCATCCAAACAAAAGTGGAGAACATAGCAAGGTGGACACCGTGCTTGAGGGGAGGCGAGGGGAAGAAAGTGCTAGAAAGGAAGTTTGGGGCCTTGTCTGCCTGGTCGGAACTTGGGCTTAACAAAAAAACACTGAGGTGTCTGAGTAAGGAAGAGATGACCAAGGCTGATCGAATGCGGGGAGGATTTTAACTTACTTTCAAGAAGGGTGGCTGCAGTTTGGCACTGAAAGCTGAAAGAAAAATGGAACAAGATTCCCCTTTGAAAAATGTATCTATTTTAATTATTCACATGCATAAATAAAGCTTTCGCTTCCTGCTCCCTCTCACCGCTCCCGTCTTCCTGGTGCAAGAAAACACCACCAACAAAGCCAAATCGAGGCATTTTTGGTGCCAGCTATAGAGTAAGCCTTATCCTTTACATTAGCATCAAGAGGGAGCTCATTTTCTGTGTTTCTGCTGTGAAAAGAAAGCTATTTTCACCACTGGTAAAAAGTACCTCTTGGTGCTTGAACTCAAATGTGATGAATGATGAAAAGAAGCCCTTGCTTTGTTGCTGAGCAAAACCTCAGGCAGCCCTGGGAGGGATGTTGGTTATGGTCTCAATTTAATTTCAAAGAAGAACCTTCACAGATAGAAAACATGAATGCGGATGCACACTTAGCAAAGGAATAATGCTCTTTTGTAAAACACCTCATTATCCCTGGCACGTGTGTGGTGCTCGGGACTTCTCAAAGTGGTTTTCTGTGGATTACCTCACTCAGCTCCCTCTCTAGACCGGGCAGCAGTTAACCTCCTGGAACAAATTAGGAAACTGAGGCATGGAGAGAGTTGTGACTTGTTCTGATAGCTCTTTGCCTGTGAGCGACAGAGAACTGGAATGGGAAATTTTCCACTCTAGGTCTCATGTCGTCGACCTCAAATTTGTATATGTGTGACATCCATATCTGAAGTATTTACATCTGTCGTATATTCGTATACAGGATGTATGAACAAATGTGTGGGTGAATAGGTAGGTGACAGATATAAACATATGACGGAGGTCCATCAGTAGCACAGAGAATAATTAATGCGTGTTTTCCTCATGGCTAGCTGGGCAGTGAACCAGAGTGAACTCCACCGAGCCCATGTTTTCAATGGGGCGTCATGCCACGTGGCCCTTTTTTCCCATGTGAACTCTTCCCCGCCCAATTGTTTCTCTAACAAGTTCTCTCTAATTATTTTGTATTCAGGCAAACAGCTTTGACTTGTGTTCGACTCTTAGGTGTGGAGCTGATGCCACAAAGGTGCCAAAGCCTAATATTGCTCTACATGTTTAAAAAGAAAAAGCGGGCTTTCAGGAAGATTGAGACGGGTGAACGTCAGGTAGGTGTGCCTTGTTTACATTATTTAAGGAGTCCGGCGA